ATAAAAAGTCGGAAAGGACAGATGCAAATTTAGGAACAGAGATTCCTCCTTAAAAACACCATAGTGAGGGTACATTCAGCAGGTGTGTTTAAGATTTTCTAGTCAAGAGAAAGTCAAAACATGGTCAACAAGTGTTAAGCATCAGCGAGATCCCTTGGTAACTCCTCACAGGTAACTCCTTGCCACTCTGCAAGGAGCATACCTGTCTTCACCTTTCTCAACATGGTCTATAAGTAAGTTACAATCTTTTTTTTTTTTTTTTTTTTTTAAACGTATCCAGAAACCATGAGTTGTAAACCCTTTGGCTCGGTACTATGGATATCGCAACCCTTCGGCATTGATTCCATTATAGGTACCATTAATCTGGGAGAAATGTGGCTTTTCTGCCTACCCCCGGGAGTGAACCCGGACCACAAGGAGTTCGTCACCCGGCCGCCGCGAAAATCAGGTTTAACCAACTTCGCTAGAGAGCCGGGCATTATAAGTTACAATCATAACATGTGTGTACAGCTGATTCTCAAGCCAGTGGAGTGCAGCAGTGACTGCCTCCACCTCAGTTTTCAAACTAGACGTTATGATATGATATGCCAGGCTTTGTTGCACTAAGCAACGTCCATTCACTTTTGCTATGAACCCCCAAGCTCTTCGTCTGCCCTTCAACACAGAGCCACCTGTATAGATAATCACATCACTTGGACAGGAATTGTCATGAATCATTTGTTGAACTTGATTCTGCATTGCCAGCTGGCCAGTCCCTGCACTCACAACCTAAAGTGATAAGAACCCTACACAAGCCCGAAACTTGCTTGGAGACTTTGACCCACTCCTCAACTCGCACAAACTTATCAAGCCTGCACACAAGTCTGGTCAATACCTGGTCAATAGCTAGGCTACAGCCAGTTTGGGTCAGTGACAGCCAATATATCACAAACAAAACGCTACTACAGTGCAGAACTATACAGAATATTTGAATTGAACTCTGGGGTCGATGTCAATGTTGCATAAAAGTAAGAGTAATAATTGTTGACATGGTGCAAACAAGTAAAATAATTGTGGATGTGACAATAGTGCTATAAAGATATTCCTAATAAGACAGAACAACAACCTCAATGCATTCCTCAACAATGCAAAAGTCCAAAATACTGCATCTCAGTCACTTAACCACTAGTGTTTATTTTCCCCCTTATTCCGAATATCTTCAGTATGCAGCTCACCCGATATTTCTGAGTCCGAGAAACTTAAGAATTTGTTATTGTTATTAGATTCACTTTACGCTTGCTAGCTTCTAGGAGGCCCGAATATAAAAACATTTGATTAAAAAACAATTAGGGGCTTTTGTGTGTAAACAAAATGGCTTTTTAAGGCCATTTTGACACCATAATTTTCCAATAGCGTTAAAATCCTAATGAGATCATGGGTCGCAGTACAAGACATACAATGCATTTCTTTTATGGCCCTGGGAAACGTTTTCCATTTTTCACTCTGTCCATGTTTACTGATTACGTCTTATACATATTTCATAGAAAAAAATGTAAATAAATAAACGTTTTTCTTATTTTTTTTTTTTTAATTTATTAGCTATCTGTGTCAAATATTTTGGTTTAAAAAACTTTTTATTGGTAAGGGATTTCCTGAGTTTGTGACCATTTTTTTTAAAAACATTTCCAAGGTGAAAGGATTAGGTTAAATGTTAAAGAAAGCCACAACTGAGAAAAATATGAGCAAACATTTGAGTTATACTGTCTTTAAAGATAGCCCTATAAGAGATTACAATATATTTTGAGACAGGGCCACACACAGTCAAACACTAATTTCTAATATACCTTATACAGTGAGCAGTACTACTGCAGCAATGGCTTGTTTTCTCAATTGGCTGGATATTCCAGTAGCAAAATGAACAGATTTTTACTTGACTCTCAGACTGGTCTCATCTTGCAGTAACTGGAACACAATAAAACAACACATTATCAGACAGTCTTGTCTTAGAGGATTGCTATTTTCTCCCGCTGTGGTCACTGGTTTTGCATTTTCAGTGCAACAAAGTTTATATTAAAATGTTAGCAGGATTCAGTATGCAGTATATCTGGGTACAATTGTAACATCAGACGGAAGAAATGTGTCAGAAATTAGGAGCAGAATAGGCCAGGCTAAGGTTGCATTTCACAGAATGAAGAACAGCTTGTGCAACCGGTCCTTCTCTTTGGATATCCGAAAGAGAGTACTAAAATGTTATGTAGAACCTATATTGCTGTATGGTAGTGAATCATGGAATGTGAATGTACAAATTAGAAAGACCTTGGAGGTGACAGAATTGTGGTTTTTCAGACGTATGTTTAGAATCTCTTGGACTGCTAGAGTAACTAACGAGGATTGCCTGAAGGAAGCTAATGAAAGCAGATCCATATATACAGCTATAAGGAACAGACAAGCACTGTTCTTTGGTCATGTGATGAGAGAATGCTGTAACGACTAGGAAGATCAATGGCAGAAGATGGAGAGGCAGACCAAGAGAGAGGTTGATGGATGAACTGTGATGGTGGCATGTTTTTTTGCTTCAAATCCACAAGACAGACCTTTGACTCACTTCTACATTTTAATTATTAAATTATTTTATGCTAGTAATTTAGTTGCAGGAAGTAATTTTATTTCTACAAAGAACTGAAATATTTATTTAGGTTTTTATTTTATAATCTGATCTGATTTAAAACTTTTCCCATATGTCTGCTGTGGTGTGCCCTTCACACCCGTCTTTTTCACATTTTCTGAACTTTCTGTAATTAAACTAAAATTCTTACTAAATTAGCAATGTTATGGGAGTTATTTTTTTTTAAATCCAGAAACAATGTAGGATTTTTTTTCATGTATATGTCATTTTCTAGGGTAAATAGAATTTTCTGTTGATATTTTTACCTGATCACTCCCAGATACTGATAATAAATTTCAGCCATCTTGACACCATTTCTCAGATTTTGTTAGTAATTAACTTAAAATCCTTACTAAATTAGTAATTTTGTGTGAGCTATTTTTTTTAAAACCCACAACCACTGTAGTATTTTTTCATGCATCTGTCATTATTTAGTTCACAGAATTTTCTGTTGGAGATATTGTTACCTAATCCTAATCAACACCAGTCTTAGATCACAAAAGTCACCCATTAGGCCACTTTGGAAGAGCATTTTTAGTAATTATGTTTAAACGCACATTTAAATACTACTGTTTTATTAGTTATATGTTTAAAAACTACAGCAATAATAAATTAGCAACACACAAATAATACATACTCACCCACAAAAGAGCAGCTAATCAATAGGTGTGCACAGTGGCAACGTACATCCAAGTTTGAATTTTAGTCATATTTATATGGTGCATAAATTCTGATTACTATAAGTTAGATAGAATCTAAAATGTTTACCACACTTTACACAGTGCTTCTTTAAAATATTTACAAAGTTAAAACTGGACTATAGAGTAAAAGCAGAACATGCAGTGGCTAAGTTGATTAGCCGTTTGCCTCATGAGGCTCATGGCTGGCTGAGAATTGTTGCTAGAGCATGGAGGTTGTGCATTGTTCTCGAAAGTTGGCTAGCCATTGTGTAGTGATAGACTGAGCCATGTGAGGTAAAACCTAGTGCAATTAAGTAGATACTTTTTACTTTAAACCTCTTTTAATCATTAATTCAGATAGTGCTTACCTTAAACTAGTGAGCTGCTGGCCATTTTTATATGTTAATTAAGCCTGTATGCATAATATGTATCTGAGATATGCATGTACAGATAGATTTCACTGCCCCGATTACAATGATATAGTGCTGCTCAGGGATTAGTTAAGAATCTAAATAGTCGTTGACGTAAAATGCAAAAATTTAGTAATTTCAACTCTTAATTTTACTGTGACGCAGCTTGGAATCCATCTTTTGTCAAATCCACTATAATTTGGGCTCTCCTCCGAACTTCTACCCCCGCATTATAGCGGCCTGAAATATCCGTTCAGGGCTCAGTTCTATTAAAAATATGCCGGCTCTGTATAACAAAACAAATGCTCTAACAGGGTGTCAGCAATGTGTTACTTGCAGACTTGTTTCTGATTACCTGACAATTCTAAGAGACGCAACACTGCAGACGATAATAGCAACCTTTGACACTTTCTATTGACGGACTTTCTGCCGACGAACAAATTGCGGCAAATCTAGGATCAGTTCGGAAAAACAAAACAAATGCTCTAACAGGGTCTCCGCGAAATGTTACTTGCGGACCTGTTTCTGTGACTATGCCTCACGCGCGGCGCGGATAGGGGTTAAACTAGATGGCTGGGACTCACAAGCAGTAGCTACCGCATCTCCTGCAACTTCCTCCAATTACTTTGCTCGTGAGTCCCAGGCACCTAGTTTAGCCCCCCTCCCCCCCATCTGTGCCGCGCGTAGCGGCGCGGGGATATGCTCGGCGGTGAGTTTAATCACGTTTTGCGCATGCTAACAAGTCTGACATCTACTGCTGCTAAATCTTCAATCGGAAGAACAGTATTGCTAATCTGCGTGGGAGCGCGTGGTCTACCCGCCATATCGCTTTCATCATCTGTAATGTCTCAAAATTGTCAACAGTCGCTTTTATCGTCTGCAATGTTGTGTCTCTTGAAATTGTCAAGTAATCCTAGTTTTGCCGTGATTTGTTCCTTGGCAGAAAGTCCGCATTTTTTTATTGGACTGAGCCCCGAACGGATATTTCAGGCCGTCATAATGCGGGGGTAGAAGTTCGGAGAGCCATAATTTGTCTATGGAGGTATCCCCCGCTAAAATGTGAGTATCTCTGCTTAGAATTGACCTACAGGCTCCAATGAGGTATCGTTGAACATGATATTTTAATCTCTATCCAGCTGTGATAGTTTCATGAGGGGGGGGGGGGGACTTAACTAGCATCCCTATTTTTAGAATACACTTATTAGCACACAAATAATACAAAATTATCTATGGATATGAAGTAAATAGGGGTATCATTCATTCAACAAAGTGCTTAGAGTACATAATGAACGAATAATAATAAAGTATAATGGTATAAAGTAACTTAGTAAGCAGACAGAACAGCGAGACAATTTCCACCCACAAACAACAATTGAGGAAGTGAAGAAGGAGTACAAGAAAGTTAAGTATGATGATGTATTGTATCCACCGGCTTTGATAAAATGGCATCTAGTATCTAGACTTTCGTGTACCTAATATATAAAAGGTCAATTACCGCATTATCTTTAAATACAGTTCAGGTGACTCATCCTGGTTGGCGGTCCAAGAAGAAAGTTTTCTAGGCCATTTTGTCGTACTTAAAAAAAGTCACTGAAAATTCGATATACACAACGATTGTTTAAACTAATACTAATAGTAATAGATACGATCTATGTACTGGCATCACCGCGGCAGTACGTTTCTCACTGCGTAATTAGGGAAATCGTTATTTAGCAGTCCTGCGGGAAGTCTAGTCCTGTGAGAATGTATTTTTGTAACAGTCGAATGAAGTCACAACGGGAGACCTGGCTTCTACATTTATCGTTCGGGAATTCTAGGAAACCGATGAAACCAGGGCCCACAACTGTCGACATGTTCCGTTGTCAGTGCACAATAATGAATAAGTTTTAATCAGGCCCCAAACAAATTGGCCCAGTCAGTGTTAATTTTTAATACTATAACAGACAGTGAAGATTAGTTGACATGTATCACTTACTAATCCAAACTTTATATGCCAAAGATTTTTCAGGGATTTCCTGCTCCTAGTCCTGTTTACCCGTCTTTATGCTGTCACTTACCTCTTGTCTAAACCGGAAATGCATTTTTTAAGTGTTTAAAAGAGAACTCGTAAACTATAAACTTGACAAGTAGGTCAGCAATACCAAAATTAAAGCTAAAAAAAAAATAGGAAAAAAAAAAGGAGGGGGGGGGGCGCCACAAAGGGTTTTACTGAAAAGCTTTCAACAAAAATAATAAAAAAACAGCCGCATTACAAAATGAGGAAGTATGGTGAAAATTGAATACAAGACAACTATGGTCGTCGGAACCTGGTGGATAAGCATTCCCCCCCCCTCTCATACTTTAGGAGACTATCCTCCGAATTACGGTCGGTAAAGATGGCGGCCGCAAAATATCCTTTCGAGCCAGTCACGTGACCTCATCTGCGGTTCTCCGGCGGTTTTCCGGCGACTACCGCTACTGCCGGGAGTCCCAAACGCCGCTCACGCGGCGTGGATTGGGGCTAAACTAGATGGCTAGGACTCACAAGCAAAGCTTCGGGAGATGCGGAAGCTGCTGCTCGTGGGTCCTAGCCATCTAGTTTAGCCCCAATCCACGCCGCTTTAGCGACGTGGGTGACTCGGGGCGGTGGCGGTAGTCGCCGGAAAACCGCCGAAGAAACGCAAATTAAGTCGCCAGAGAACCGCAAATTAGGTCACGTGACTGTGGCTCGAAAGGATATTTTGCGGCCGCCATCTATACCGACCGTTATTCAGAGGATAGCCCTTTAGGATAACTGAACCCCACCCCTAATAATTTTGTAATGTGACTAAGAGACCTAAAATTAGTAACAATAATAATATGTTTTATACCATAATTGTACATATAAAATAATATACATGGAACCATGTCCCACCCACCCCCACCCCCTCCCTTTTTCACGCAGCCCAGTAATTTACAATGAGCGGCTCCCTTTCCCTACCATTTATAGACGTTCTCTTTTCAAGCATTTTTGTACATTTGATATTATTTTACATATAATTTTTTTTCCATCAGCACATACTTATAGTATTTATAATAACAATTATTGTTATTATTTTTGTGCACTTGAACAAGGCGTAACCCCTGGAGGTCTTACCCGTCCACCCCCCCCCCTTCCCTCCCCTTCTCCACAATTGTCAGTGGGTCTCAAATTATTTAAGTATTGTTTAATAGTGCAATAATAATATGCTTTTTATTGTAACTATTATTATACATTTAAACAAGACTTAAACACCCTCCATCACCCTAAATTATTATCGGCAAATGGGGTTTAAGTCTATCCCTATGTTTTCCATGTGGTGGTGTGCGTAACTATATTTCAGTTTTATTTTCTGATTTGATTTGGTTTGATTTGATTCAAGAACCGACATTACAGCACTCGGGGCATTCCCATAAGCGCTCCGTCCCCATCTTCAGCAACCAGAGAAATATTTTCTGACATATTTCGGTGTACTCAGTAACACGCGTACCATAGAATTTATATCGACAATGAGATAGATTATTTTTTTTACATGAATGCGTTAAAATAAAATACAGATAGCATATATTACATTTTGTTGCTGTTGGTTTTGTGTTGTATTATCTCTTGGTGTGGTTTCTGCTTTATATGCAACGTATAGGGACACATGGTAAAGAAAGAGGGAAAGGACACTAAAGCCATCATCATCATCATGTGCCCTGCCAACTGGCATAGGCGCTCATGCGTCTCTACAGATCACGATCCCTGGTTGCTGGAACAGCTTTCTTAATGATATCCCTTAATGCCATCGTTTTAGCCCATACAGCATCTCTCTTGGTCTGTCTCTACCCCCTTTTCCACTGATCTTTCCAGTTGTCACGATCTTCTCCAATGTCTCCCTTCTCATTGTGTGGCCAAAGAACAATGTTTGTCTCGTTCGTATTGTTGTATATAGAGAATTACTTTAATTAGCTTCTTTCAAGCTAAAGTAACCACATTAAATCAAGAATACGCTAGCAGTATCCACCCACGTGAAATAAAATCTAAGCAAGCAAAATGACAGGAAGTACACGGTACTAAACTTTTTAAAAAAATGTAAAACGTTCTGTTTTGCGTATTGCCAGGTCTGGTAAAGATTTGCCACCATGACTTCCTATGATTTTTAAAAACCCCTGAAACCCACAGATGGGTTTGGAGGAAATCAGTCGCTGCCATTGATTTGGCACCATCAGCTACCGCCTTCTCTAACAAATGGAGTCGGCCGTGCATCAGCATAGTCACTCTGATGGCTTCTGTGTGGGACAAAATCCCCTGGTGCTGTGATGTCAAGTCTTTACCCATCGGTACAATTAACGAATCTCACCCCATCTCACTCGGCTGCGTTATTTAATATTCGTTATCAATGCTGTTCCATGTTCTAGGAGTGTCAGATGCTGCTTGTTTTGAATGTTTTAAGCACATCAACAACCGACGACAGCCATCGCCAACGAAGCTGCAAAAACATCAATGATTTGTCACTTACGAACCGACGCGCCTTCGATTCTTCTAACTGAATTACTACTTTATTGTACACAGGCGCCTGCGACGCCTGAGCTACTCACAACAACACATTCGGGAAACGATAGTCGTTCACAGAAACGACAATTGTGACTAAAAAGCTGCGCAGTTTCATCTGGGAGACAGTGTCACAACTGCGTCGAACGAACGCAAACCAGTTTTCGCCATGGTGTGTGTAGACGGGAAAGGACAGCCTCTCATAACACCCCTAGAACATAAGAAAACCAATTGGGAACGACCATGAAATCTTGCGCCCGAGCGAGATGTTGTGAAATCAGCGATTAGTGCCTACCCCCAGTCCATAAAACTAATAATCTATCCATCCAGCCACACATCATCCATCTATCCTTACAGTTAATGTTTTTTTTTTTTAAATTACCGTATATTTTCTCAGCTTCATCACACCATTTCAATGATTGGGTTTAACTTAACAATTCGCGCGTCCAGCTGTTTTATCAAATACAACAGAAACGGTAGATTCATTGTGTTCATTAAATAGGTGCTACCGTTGTGACTATTAAAAATATCCCGGTAACGGCCAATTGTAAGGTGTGCATGTAACGGCTGTAATCATCGTCTACACTTTCCATTGCCCCAAAATATGTTTTATTTACTATTATTATTACTGTTTACTATTTATTACAAAGGCACCACATTGTTAACGCATCAAGCAAGATTACACGACTCCTGCAGAAACGGTGCGCGTGAAAGCTAACAGATACTAAAACTAGATAGCTGGCACATATACTCTCAATAGTGATACGAGGAGGAGGTGATACCCTCTCCAGTGTAATCGTTACTTGTGAACGCTTAGACGTGTGAACTGGTCAAAACTTCGCCACAGTGTGTCACGAGGAGCAGTTTCATAAGACTGGAGTGGGACCTGCTACCCTGTTCTGTAATACCTATAGTTGCAACATCAACCAACCATGACCAGCTGTAAGGAAAAATGCCTATTCCAGAATGACTCTAAGATTCGCCAAAATAAGATGAGAGAGCACTGATAGAATCAGAAGCGTCCAGCTTCTGAAAAAAAGTAACCACAAAAACAACAACAATACACAGAAAATATAAAGGTCTTGTAGTGTTACAAACCACAAGATAAGGCAGACAAGGAAGAATTGTACATGACATTTCAAAGTACAATTGGTAACGATATAAACTTTAATATATATGAGGATGGCAACATATGATCAGAACAAACATGTTATGAGGAGACGGGTTTAACAAATATGAACTCAGAGCAACAAACCATGTCTATTCACCTATCACCATCACAGATGCCGTGAAGCAATACTCACAACTGTAAAGAACAAGACACGGAGGCGAAGAATTAGCCGATGATGGATGAAGAAAGGGATCAGGAAAATAAGACACTCGTTGAAATTATAAATGTCTCGAGCAGTCTATCTTTTTACGGTTCCATTTGAGAAGATAATAAAGTCGGTTAGTTCCACGATAGTACCCCAGGAGACCGCCCATATACACACTATCACACTTCTGATTGGTAGTTCCTGACCGCGTGTCCTTCGCACACTGCTACGGGGGTGTTCCGTAATGCCGTTTACATCGCTTGTTGTATATTTAAGCACGCCAACGCTTTTAACACTACAAAAAACGTGGAGAAACTGGGTCTAACACACAACTCCCCTAGAGAGGGCTGCAACGTATGTGACAGGCATTCTCTTTCTGGGAAGAGAAACGTAAAAGCAAGACAAGACAGAGAGCAAACAACATAGCGGTACACCCGTAACCCCCCGGAAAGCAGACCAGTCCAGAATAAAGTTATCAATGGAACGTGATCTACTTTCTCTGGGGAGACTGACTTCGAACTAAATGACAAGTCTAACAAACTTGTGAATGAAAAGCGACTTAGTGCGTACATGGGCGAGGTTAAC